GAAACATGGAGATGACAGACTTTTAAAAGAAAAGCTGCAAAGCTAACTTTACCAAGTGCCTATTATTTGTAACTTTTAACATAAGAAATACAATATTTAGTGCTTCCAGGATATTGAAAGGTTTTTAAATAACATTGTTGTTTCAAATTTCTCATTTTGTATACTTCTTCCACTTTCATCACTCATACCAATCTCCATCTCTTTGTATTCAGCAGAATCCCCACAGTCATAAGTATCAGAAAGCAAAGGGGAAAAAAAGTTGAAGTACATTTCTTCTTGAAAGAACAAAAACTTGCCTTTTTCAGAAACTGTAGCTCAAGAGCCAAAACTACAAATGCCTCAGTGAGCCTTCATGATTATGCAGTCATTTTAATCTAACTTGGAAACTCCTTCCAGGCAAATTAATGTAAAATTAAGTTGATTTTTTTAAAAAAGCAGCAGGACATAAAACAGATGGTTTAATAGAAGATCATTATACCTTTCTCAGACAGCATTTTTGGGATAAAAAAATGTGTAGAGATTTAGTTAAATAAAGCAGGTGGGTGAAATTTCAGAAGCAGCAATTTAGAACAATGGGCTGCCTGTCAGCTCTTGTTATTCACTGGGGTTCAGAATGTACCTAGTTCCACTTATTACGAAGGCACTTTATGCTAAGCTTAACACCACATATCAAAAAATGGAAGTCAGACTACATGAGCTGTGAAGCACCGTCTGTTCATATTAATACATATAAACTAACTCCGTCTAGAGTACAACTTCCCCTTTATTGCCCCTACTTTGTCTGCCAAACTAACCACATTCTGAGTTGCATTAGAATGTGCACAGCCAAGCCCAAAGATCCTTTACAATCCCATTCACTGTCACCAACATGTAGCACGATGGCATTGGTCACAGAAAACCAGTGGGGTCTTTTGCCATGCTGAGAAAAAACAAGAACTGAGCATAATTCATATCTATTGATAGTATCAAAACACAAGCATGAAACAAGCAGAGAAGCAGACCTGAAACAAAGCATTAAGATGGATGTAACAACACAGTTTAAGACAGAGGCCTTTAAGTCCTTTGTTGACCATTAATATTAATGCCTTTCAGTATTTTCCAGATGTTTCCAAAAGCCATATAAGTGACCAGTCTTTGTCGTTTTCTCAGTTTTCTAGTCATGGAGGAAGGGTCCAGCTAAAATCTCTCAACTGAGCTGATTACAATTCAGGAACAACTCTTATGTCTATGCTTCCTGTTCTCACTGTGTAACATGGTACACAAGCTTTTCCAAGTGCAAACTCTGGGAAGGTGCTTAATACCCTTTTCTGGAGTTACTCCTGGCAAATCCCATGCTTAAAAGTAGGCTACTGACAAATTCAGCACAGCACTTGTGGTGTCCTATGGCACCTCTCAATTCTAATTAAATACAGAATTTATGGGCTGTATTCCTTGAATGTGGTTTTCTTCTAAGAAGTTGTTTCTGAAAGCATTCAGGGAGCCAGTCATGTGCCTGACCAGAACAATCTGCCAGAATACAGGACTAGTTCAATGGTGATTCTGAATCAGTCAATGGCATATATAGGTATGAACACATATACAAAAGGACATGTGCATGTATGCAAACATGAGAGGAACACTTACATAAGTTTTAGGAAGCTCTCAGCATGAATTCTACAAACATGGTACCCTAACTTCGACTGCCTTGTCAAGAGAGCTTTTTCTCCCTTTTATTTTAATCTAAGACAGTTGTAGGATTACACTGAACTGTATCTAGAAAACATGTTAGTGTAATTAAAACACTGTAATGAATCATGCCAGTCTAATACATTCTGGACTAGTCTTAAATATCATTCTTAAACACCAATACGTCCAGCAACTATTCGCACTTGACAAACTGAAGTTAGCCAGGCAATTAAGCCTTTCTACTCAGAAACACAGACATTTAAAATACTTCATCAGCTTTGAAAGCATAGAAAGATGCAGATACCACAGCAATTGCTCACTTCTCTCTTCATCAAGATACATGGGCAAGAAATCACTCACCTAAACAACCTGAACACCAAAACCTTCATTAACACAAATTGCCAAAGTACCAACATAGAAAAATGTGTTTCTATGCATAATTACTTTTGCCAATCTTGTTACAGTTCATCTAAATTTTTTATGGTACAAAGGATACCGGGAAAGGTTAAAAATAGGTATTGCTTTACACGCTTCCATTACGTAAACCAAAACCCCGCCATTTATACATGAAGTTAAAATAAAAACTTAATTACACAAACTACATGTGCAAGATGGAATTACCATTTTTAGTATTTATATGCTGTTCTACTTAATTTATATTTATATTTTATGTATTTATATTTACATTCTACTTAATTTATATTTATATGCTCTGTTTTACTTGGCTACTTAAAAAATGCTTCCACAGGCTAGTTAAGAGTTCATTGTTTCCATCTGTTTACATGTAACTGTTCCTAGTCATGAAATATAAATGCTTCAAGAAACCCTTTAATCTTCAAAAATTATCATATCCCAAATAAGAAAAGGTTTACATATAATTAAAATTAGTGAAAATAAAAGAACAATTTAAAAAACTTGATTCACCATTGGTATTTATATGGTGTTGCCTTACATATTTTATGAATGTTATTACAAAATAGAAGAGCACCTTAATAGCTATTTCAAAACACTAAAGAACAATTCTTACTTCCTGCTTCCCTAACATTGTGGCAATAGACTTTCTACAGCACTGCAGCCACTAATTTTCTTACCTGAAGCCCAACATTGTCTGCCTGTCCTCCTTTAACTAACTGGGAGATGAAGAGGCCACAACTAAATTCCACACCACCTCTCACACTTAATCCAAGTCCTTCAGGATGCAAACGATCCAACCTCACCTCTTTCAGCTTTCTGCAAAAATGGAAGATACTTGACTGTTTAGTTGCATATCATTTTGTGGCAATAATGATTCATAAGAAAGTCACACATTTTTCTCTTACATTTAGGCATGAAAAAAAGCAAGTTGACTTAATTTTGGATGGATGTGTGTTAGTTAAAGCCATCAAGCATTATTCATAGGACAAGACATCTACAATCATTGAAGCTGTCTGCTTCTAGAGGGTTAGAGCTATAAGAATTTTTTGTTATTATTAAACAGAGGAAAACAGAGCAAAGATTGTTTCAACTGGATAGCATTGTTTTTTACTCCCTTATCCTGATTTTGCTAGATTAAACTACTTGGCAAACAATTTCAGGCAGCTCAAACCTGTACTTACAGCAAATACAGCAAAAGTAAAAAAATTATGCCCAGATCTATACAGGTGATCAATACTTCACTCAGCATTTCTCTGACAAGTCAGTCAGTACTTCCTGCTTGCTTTTAAGTTAACTGCACTGTTCTACATTCTCTTACCGTGATCTTTTGGGTGTAAGCTGATCATATTCCACCTGGTGTTTTAATGGAATAAGTGGGCGGATAGCATCAAATAGAGGCAATCTGCTTGGTTCATTAATAACGAGTTTTAGGTCCCCCACAAGCACTGGGAGATTCATAGATCTACAAACACAGAGAGAAAACAGACACAGGTAGTCAACAGACCAACACAAACCATCACTTAACAACTTGTTCCACATGTGATTTCAAAATTTGAATTCTACCTATTAAAACCTACTTCAATCTACTAAAAATATTATTTATGTAGATACTGATTTAACCAAGGCAAAACAGGCTCTGAAAACAACAAGTCTTCTGTAAGCAATGAGGAATAACAATTAGCTCCCACAAAATAACTGAAATCTTCTATACATTGCCTTCATATTTTAAGGTCACATATCACTTTAATAGATGGCATCTTTAATTTAATTCTGAGTCCCCAAAAGATTTATGGAACTTGCCAGATTCAATATAACTGACAATTAGATTTTTGTTTCCTTACTAGTTAGCAATCCTTCTAAGTGAACCTAGGCTACAAGCTCCTTCCTCTTCTGAACTTGGGGGACAGACAAATTGCTTTGATCCAGGAAAAAAAAAAAAATAAAATCACAATATCCAGAAGCTAAAGCAAAGTCTTGGTTTAAGTTTAAAATTTCTTTTAAATAAAAATTGAAGGGCCATCAACCAATACACAAAATCCACCAAAGTTAAACCACTGTAGATATGTTTTTTGAGAGCTGCGTAAAGCAGTCTCCTTGATATTGTCAGCACTGAGAGAGTTAAAGGCCTCAAAAATGTACTTTGTTGCCCAGCTGCAAGAGTGCAGTAACAGTTCCCCAAGATTCACTGGAGCTATTCCTACACAACATCCAGTCAAACTAACTTTATAGCATTTACTGTTACCTCTCTTATACTTTACTTTTTCTAGCATACTGTATTTCTGAGGCACATGCACTAAAAATACAGATCATGAATGCATATTACATGAGACTAGAGGGCAAATAGTTCAGGAAATGTTATTCACAATGAGGGAGATACTAAGTGTTAACTTCAACAGCTGCTGCACAGATTCTTTTTTTCCCCCCTGTAATACTTCATAGTGTATTAAAAAACCCATGATGCATCATCAACATATGATCACAGAGATGCTGGAAATTTTGCCTAAGTTATTTCAATTTTGGAAACTGAAGAAAAGTTGCTATATGCATTGTTAACTTTGTAACTGTAAGAAGATTTTAAATAATTAAGAGCTAGTGAATCAACTGGCTTTCCAAACAAGAGGCTTTATGAATGGAAAAGCAATTTGACAGACCTGAGTGAAACTGAATGAGATATGCAGCTGAATACACCCATAACTATAGCTCAGTGCAAACATCAGATGGAAACATCTACTTTTCACTCAGCCAAGACACTATTAAATAAGATATTAATGGAAACTATGTCTATCAGAGCTACTTGTCTATGATGAGTGGAAAATACATTCTCATATTCTCTGAAAAACAATGGATCAGATGCTGATCTCATTTGCAATGATACAGGTCCCAAGCAACTGTGGTTTAAATCAGTTCAGCAAAAGGATTGGTGACAAGCCTATCACCTTACAATTTTTTTCCCATTAGGTCATAATAAGCCATTGTTAAACATGCCAAAAAGATTCCCAGACTAATTTTTTTCAGCTTCAGATAAAACAGTTTACATTTTTTATCTGAATAGTTAGCAAAAACTTTGAAAAGCAAACTCAATGAAAACCTCTGTTGCATATATATAAGCATTATTTGGAAATATTAATGAATTGTATTAATGCTCTCTTCCTGTTTCCTAAGAACAGTTTTATTATCTAAGTGCTTTTTTTTCCTTACCGAGTTCAAAATGACCAAATTCTTTTCCAAAACTACCAAGTCATAAAACCAAAGTAACTTCATGGGTGAATATAGAGACATGCTGCTTCCTTGTCTGCAGGCTACGCTGTAAAGTATAAGACTTCATTAAACAGAATACAAATGATTACTTCAACTGTTTTTTAGTAGCATGCAGAAAGTCCACATGAAATCTTGAATATTCACTCTCTACTCCTAAAAACATTAGTAGAATTTTACACAAACACATATAAAGCTGGATCTTACTGGTGGTAGAGCCGCAGCACATCGTAAAGGTAATCCTTCTCTGCTTCATTGTCAATCAGTAGATTCACCTGAAAACCCAAGGACATTATTGTAAATCTCTGACTAAATAGCCACAAATGTTGCACATACAAGGCTTGCACAAACTCCTAAACCTTACTGCAATGATTTCAACAGGGAAATATATATATTATATGTTTAAAGATAAATACATTTTTGCCATAGAGTATTGCCTCATCATGTGAAACTTATAATAAGACTTTCTGAAATTTGTACTACAACAGTTAGACAAGGTGGTAAATACTGATATATTCCTTATACTAGATTTCCCCTTGACTGCAATATTATTACAATAGTATCATATTTGCCTTACCTGATAATCACTGTACTGTTGAATAAATGTTTTCAGAAACCTTTTTGGCCATTCATTAATGTAGCACATGGTGTCACAGATAAAACCACCACTCTGAGATTATTATAATCTATGTTCCGTCATCCAGATCACTGATTTCAGGATCTCACTTCTAACATTATGTAAACTCCTACACTTGTGCTCCTCTTCGCTACAGCTCTTAACTGATAGAACTTGCTAGTTATTCTTTCCTCCCCCACTAATAGTACGTTTACTTAAACCAGTATCACATTACTATGCCTGCTCTTGGATAATTACAGTAAAATAAAGGAAAAACAAAAACAAAACCAAAACCCAAACCAACAAATCAAGAATTCTCATATGAGGAGTTCAATTTATATTCAACGACAGTGAGACCCCCACTGATCTTACTTGTAGCAAGAGGTCATCACATTAGTTTTACATTTGGACAAGCTTAATGTTTAGGAAAACAATCTACATCTGACCTAAAGGCTAATATTACTGTAATGTGAAGTCTGAGGCCCAATTTGCATACTTAAAGAAAGGTCCTTTCTTTCTAGGTTTGCAATGGTTTGCATTATATTCTAAACTAAACACATGCTTCATATTTCCTTTGTCCTTTCTGGCTCTCTAAAGCCAGCAAGACTCCACTTACAGGCGGTTTTCGATTACTTGTCTCTTCTGGAAAAAGACACTTTCAAAACACCTAAAGGCCAAAACGCTACATGAAAGTCAAGACTGCTTGACAGTAATACATTGCATTTTTTTTTCTGATATGCTAGGTGATGGACACATCCTCAATCCCTCACAGGAACATGAGGGCCATATCTAAATTCTGCCATTTCTTCTCAGGCAACTTTCAATTTTCCTGTTTCATTCCTGCACTTTCTTACCCTGCATCAGCAACTTCCTCATCCTCTGACAAAAACAAACACCCACGTGAGCTCTTATATATTCAGAATGCTACAGGTGAGTTAATCTTCCTGAGCCATCTCTCTAATTAGGTCATTCTTCTCCTGTTATCTTCTGTTTCACCAATTATCACTTCATTGTAGCAACCTGCATCTCTTCCCATTTTCCTAATTCATTAACTCCTTTGGAAAGAGCCTCATGGAAGACATACACTTCACCTAAACTCATCAGTAGCTTTTAAGAGCTTATTCTAATTTTGTAAATTCTAAAAGATCACACCCCTGTGTGTTAAGAAAAAAGCAAAACAACTAGCAGTTGTGACATGGTGTAACTTGGATCAGAGAAGTATTTTAGCACCTCTCTATTCCTCGAGAAAATAACTGCAGAGATACAGGATAGATGATTTCACAGCTTTCAAACTGAGAATATTAAAAAAATAATCTTGACAGAGTCCTGGGTAACCTGCTCTATCTAGTTGGCCATGCTTGAGCATGGGGGTTAGTGCAGATGATCTCCAGAGATGTCTTCAACCTCAACTTTTCTGTGATTATTTAAGGGTACTAGAATACTACTAGAAAGGTATCTTCATAGTAGTTGTATTATTTACAATTCCAGAAAAAAAAAAAAAATAGAGCTGCTTATGCTCCATTCTTACTATGTACATTTCACTGGGTTTCATATAAATTAATAAGGAGTCATCACAAAAACTGCACATATAAACAAAAGAAAAATAAAATCTGGCCACAAGTCCGTATAAGTTTATTCAGTAGAATAGAAGCTGTTTGGGAAAAAGGCACTTTTTGGTGTGGAAAAGTTCAGACTACAGTAATGTACTACTCTTAACACTAGCCCAGTCTGTCAGCTTTTGAAGAATAGCATAAAATTATAATTAAGCTACACAGCCTTTGAAAAACTATTGATGGAAATGGAAGAACTGGCTGATATATGTACATATATTTTGCATTGCTCCTTCATTGATAGGGAGAACTGATTAAAATCAGTAAGAAAAAATATATGAAAATGGCAAATAACTGCGGAAACTCTCATCCTCTGGCTGAGATTTTTCTCTACTTAAATACAGAAAAAGTAAGTATCCAAGACACTACAACTGCTGCAGAGGCCATCAGAAGCAGGATGAGTCAAAATAATTTAAAACAAAGACCTCTTCCAGTATCCTTCTAGCTCATGAAGTTTTCACTCAAACATGCATCCTACTTATTTGCATCAACAAATGCTGACAATAAGTCCTATGTTATCAGGGGTGGGTCTAGAATGATTTATGCATTACAGCAGCAATGAAAGGGAAAAGGTTTAAAGTTCAAGATGGTAACCATCCACCTAGGAACCAGAGTCTTTATAGGTATGTTGCACAACCCACTGTTGAGTTATACAGTAATAGGTAGCAAGGCAGAAATAACCTGCTAAACGGCAGTAGTATTTACTGCCCAGTATTCTGGTCATTCAGGTTTTTGAACTTCAGTTTGTCATTTTTGCAGCCCCTCTACTTCCTGCTAACAATTTCTTAAAGAATGGCTTTATTATCAGATGATACTTCTATAAAACACATCACTCTACTCTGAAGAAACCAATTCCACAGCTGACAAAAAACCCAAACCAACCAAATCAACAATCTCCCCTACAAAAAAACCCAAAGCAAAATCCCAAACAAATAAAAAAACAAATAAACTCCACAAAACAGTACTAAAAAATTCAGCCTGATAGAGTCCTAAATGGCTATGCAAAAACTTATCTTAAACGCATAAACCATTCTTTCCCTGCTTTCCCTAAGTGGAGCTTTTTGAGCTTACTTTGCTCATACAACTTGGAGCTCTGCTGGGCACTTACTTAACTGAGTAAATGAGAAAATAACGTGCATACTAAACCGATCCATGTATCAAGTGCATTTGTACAGGACTGCACATGCATAATTGCACTCATGAATGTTAAGGTAGAAGCGAGTATCACCTGAGCAACAGCTGGCAGCGCGCAGGGCTGCAGATGGAACTGCCCGGGCCTGGACTTCAGCACCTGCACTTCTGCCTTCCCTGAACTTGACCGAGCGCAACACTTTTCACATTACATTAATATAAAATAACAAGCCCTGAAAAAAGGTCATGCACCGGGGCACCTTCTTCCTTTTCTCTCCCTTCTTTTTTGAGAGTTAAATGTACAAGCAGTCGCGGAGGAGGCTGCCACACGCTTTTCCGCGTCACTGGCACCGCCAAATCCCCTCCCTT